AAGCAGAACTGTGCAAATGTAACTAAGTTACCTTTCCTTTGCATTTCTAGAGGGGTGAAAAAAAAAAAAAAAAAGCTGTGGCCTCAGTTGAAATCTCTTGGGTTTGCATAGAGGCAAATTGATGCTAAAGAGAGGCCTCTGTTCACTAAACCCTTTCAAAATACAATTTCTTTTAACAGCTGACACTACTGGAACATTGTACAGTGTGGCATTTAGTTACATCAAGCTCACTGGAGATAAGCATCCCCTTTATATCGGTGCCATTCCTCAGGGGGCAAGGTAGTTTTCTGTAGCCCTAGTGCGTAAGAGTTACAAAAATATACAAATAAACTTGAACAGACTTCTAGTAATATAATGTAGTATTTTATAGCTAAGAGGAGTCAGTGTGTTAAAAAAGTGAAAGCAGTCTCACCATAAGGTAATTTTTGGTTTCTGTACAAATGGTTGACACGAGACTTCTGGGCTGGTAGGTGTCTATTTTGTATAGCAAAAGTAACGTTCAGGTCCATGTGTTGTGCAACACAGAGATATGCTGTACTCTCAGAATCAGGATAATTTTTGAAAGAAGCCGCGTAAAGGAATAGTTACCATCTACCTCTAGCTTCCCCTTGGGAAGCTCTATTAAATAGCCAGCTCCTGAATGCTATCACTGAAGCAGTGAGGACTTTCAGCTCAAAAGGAAGTGTTCACATTGTCGCTCATAAGCCTCTGAAAAATGATCCACAAAATAAAGCCAGCCTCATCCCTTTGTGACAGAGTTGAAAACTAGTTAATTACCCTTCAAATTCATAACCCCACACACTGTCAGGTGGTTTAAAAACAGCTGAAGCATAAACCTTTCAAGTATTTGCAGATCCTACTTAAGGAATTCACTTCTGAAATAACAGAAGGGTTGACAAATGTAGTGAAGTAGCTAATCGCTACCACCCTACAGCAGACTTGACTGTGATGCTATTGAAATAACAAGCAATGCATTTCTGAGCTTTGGAACTCCTTGTCACGGGACATCACAAACCCTAGAAATGCACAGAACCGACTCTCTCCTGTGGATTTTTCAGCTATTGCCTCACCTCAGTGTGTCAGAGGATTCCTGCACAGTGACATACATGCTGCACTCTTCTTCCTAAGGCATCTGCCACAGGCAATCCAAGGCCAAACACGAGCCGGCCCTTTCATGGAACATGGCATCACCAGCACTGACGTCGCAGCCAACAATGTAGCCATAGTTACAGCTGCTATACAAATACTACAAAGTAGTATTTACTTGACTTCAATCAGTCAGAAGAGTCCGCACAATCAGTTTGTTTTGAACAGCTACACAGAAAACGTACAGAGGGCTGGGGAAGCAACTTAGCACAGAATTCTATGAAAAATTTTCCTCTATTAAATCTGCAATATTCCAAAGTATCTTTAGAAAACCACTGAAAATACCTGTTGAGCTGAAGTTCAAAGACTTTTAACAAACAGCAGAAGGTTTGTTACATAAGAAACATGTGGCTAGCAAAAAGATAAGGTTTCCAACTCAGAAACCTCAGGAATCGCCACTGAAGACTCTCAAAGGTGAGAGGTTACACCATTTTACCATCAACTGTACCAATATCCATTAGGTGTTTGGAAGGAAGGTGCTTCAAAAGAACTTGAATAAACACACCATGGTCCCAAACCTCACACCGCTTCCTTACTGTAACAACTTTTACTCAGGAATCTGTTTGATCCTAACCGAAGAGCACCCAAAGGATTTTTCAAGAGTAGCACCAGAATGCTTTGTCTTGTTCATGATGCATTCTGTATCCTACCTCCCAGTCACAGCAAACTGATGCACACACTCTGAAACAGTAGCCCAGAAAAACTCTGAAATTCTCCCAAATCCACGTGATCCCATACAAAATGATACCTGGTATCTCAGCCTACACCATTCTTTATTTCTTTCCTTTCTTGGCTGCAGTCGTCTTTTCTCCTTTTTTAGCATTTTTCCCGTATTTTGCTTCCAGTTGGTCCAAAAAGTCATCCATTTCCTTTTTTCGATCTTTATTTCTGCTCTGGGGGAAAGGAAATTAAAAAAGAAAACCGACCCAAAACTTGTACTACTTCCTAGTACAGATTATTCTAGTGAAGTTGATAGTATGACAGCTACATAAAATATTGGAATATATTAAACAGGGAACGCAAGCAATATAATACAATACAAATATAACACAATACAAAGTGTAGTACCATCAAGCAAAATTCTACTTGTATACTCTAGGCTCTATACCTAACTTCTCCTGAAGTATCGAGACAGACGTAAAGTGGCTATAAAAATTCCCAACATAAGCCTAGGAAAAGCAAAACAATTTCTAAGTTTAGACCCAAAACTCTACTGCAGTCTGAGGAATGATTAAGCATGAATGTTCTAGGAAGCCCACTGGATGATGAGAAACAGAAAACATTCCAAAAAGCAGAATGTAAACAGTATGTTTCTTTCCTCGGTCCTCAAGATACAAAACAGGAAGACCTATCAGCTTCTACATCCTGATGGAATCCCTCAGAGAAAAAATCATTAATACTCCATGTCTAACTACCTAAAACTAGAAGTTAAATATTTTGATTGTGTATGCCATAAGGATATTTGAATAACTTTGTTAATTTTCAAAAGACGCAGGCAGTAAAATCCATACCACACTGACTATTAAGTAAAGTACATAGGTAGCTAACATTAAGGTCAGGTTTTAACCTCAGAACTCTCAAGTTGCAAGGATCCAAACTACAAAGAGGCTCAGGGAGAACGGAATTATAGGCCAGCAACATACTTATCTTCAGCAGATAGAAAAAGCCTTACTCGAATCAGTGCTTTCAAATCATCTTCTCCACCAAGTCCCAGTTCAGCTTTAGTCTCTTCTGCCTCTCTAGCTTCTTTTTCTGCCGAAAATAGCCAACTAGTTTTTTAACAAGTATTTTGCAAGTTTTTTGACACAGTCTTATAATAGTTATGAAACACTTTTTTTTTTTTTTTTTTTTTTAATCCGTATACAACTAGCTGCAAGGAAACACAAATCGTTTCCAAATTTGGCCACAGATGACAAACTGGTGAAAGAAAGACCATTCTGGCTTTAGTAGAGCGGGACAGTTTTTTGTTGTTTCACAATGCTGAATGTGATGTCTATGCCTATCCCTGTTCCCCCCACCCACACTTTTTTTGTCTTGGCAGCTATTACATTTTCTTTAACTTAGAGAACGGTTACTGCGATGTGCATGTAAGATCCACAAAGTGTTCAAAAAACCCTACGTTGAAGAAGAGGTCCATTTAGTCCAGAATGTTATTTCACACTCGCCAGAAGGCGAGCATAACGTATTTCTACCACGTACACTGAACTCCAGCAGCTCATAGCTGTGTAAATAAATGCAGGGACATGCTAAACTGTAATAAGCCATTGTGTATAATAATAAAGAATTAATAATAAAACAGAGAAATAAAGATTGGCAGCAGCCTATCACAGCTCAAAAGCCTGTCACAACAATTGGGGGGGGGGGGGGGGGGGGGGAGAACACAGGTGTCCAAATGTGAAAGTCAAAGACACAGAGCAAGTTCTGTAACCCAGAAATCCTGTGGCAAACTCAAGAACAGTTCCACTTATTTCTAACAAGGAAGATTAAAAGCTTATCATAAAAAATATGCTTCCCTTTGGTCCCGGATTGATATAACCTACCCGCTTTTTCCTCACAATCATTTTCTGCTTAGACTCTCTTACAAAACCTTTGTAGAATGGGACTTCTCCACAGTCAATGGCTTTTTCTACGACTTTCCGTATTCTCGGTTCATCTGTATAGTCCACGCACAACACAGACTCCATTATTCTGTCCAGGTCACCCTCACAATCCACATATGCTGCTTTAATAACAGCTAGCTCTTTGTCCGAATCTTTCTAGCTCTTTTCGAAGTCTGCAATATCTTTCACTGTGATCTGAAGCAAAGAAGTGACACTTCTGAAGTTACGTGATTTATTCACCAGATGGATTTCAGAGACAGCGTTAAACAAAACAAATCAAAACAAAACAAAAAGAGAAGCCACGTGCTTTACCCGAAGCTCGCCAGGGAGCTCCCCGCTTCCCGCAGGGCCTGCCCCCGCCCAGGCGAGCCCTGCGGGGCCCCGGCCCAGCTCTCACCTTCCTGAAGAGCAGCCGCCAGTACTCCCGCCAGTCCCGCTCGCCCCTCAGCACCTCGCCCTCCTCGCCCACCGTGCCCTGCTCACCGTACAGGGCGCGCTGCTCCGCCTCGCTGAGGGCGGCGTAGGCCTTGCCCAGGATCTGCGGGCACAGAGGGGCCGGCCGGTCAGGCCGGCAGCAGCGGGGCAACTGCTTCCAAGTCGTATTTCTGCGATACCGCATCCTCTCTTCCCTGATCATCTTTTCTACTTCTCCAGTGGGCCCTTTATGGGTTCTCCAAATTTTGGTGCTAATGCAGACTGCAGCATTAACACAGCAGGACAAAGACATGACAACCAAAGGGCATCAAATATAAAATACTTAACCATTTCATTCTTCCGATTTTTTCAACTTTAACTTTGCCTCGTTTTCACATGAAGAAGCTTTGGCTGTTTCAGCTTTGTTTACAGGTTTAATCAGTTTTCTTTTCTGGCTTTTGCTTTCTGGAACGTATCAGGTCTTTGCATCCAAGTTTGACCATTTTTGCTTCCCACAACTGCATTTCATTCTCGTACCGAACCTTATCATCTTCAGCAAGCTGCACGTATGGCTGGGAGAAAAGAAGGTATCAACAGTTACAGAAGGGGCTTTGTCAGGATAACTGCCATGTCACATCCTCCTCTTTGATACAGAGGTGACTTACTACACGACCGGTGTAGTGCACATCCCAGGCGTCCACTTTCACCTTCAGAAAATTCAAAAAACATCGAACATAATGAAATGTAAAACATACAAATCAGGGTGTGAGAAATGCTCGAAGGACTCTCTCTGCCTGTATTATAGAGGAAGACTGCTAGAAAGGAAAGAAGCAGAAAAGGAAGGATAGAACTTTTCACCCAGACTGTGACATTACCACACATGTTTGTTGCTGTGCTCCAGTCTCAGCAGGATGAACTGAAATTCCACATGGGACCAGAAAATGAAACTGCGGTTACTGAGTTCACCCTAAAGGGTTTCTCGGGGCTTGGTCGACGACTACAGCTATTTCTCTCTCTGGCCCTTCTGCTCAGCTACCTGACAACAGCGATGGGGAACGCAACCATCATTTTCCTCGTGTGTGTGGATCACCGCCTGCAAACCCCCATGTACTTTTTCATCAGCAATCTGTCCTTCCTGGAAATCTGGTTTACATCCTCCACAAGCATCAAATTGTTTCTGATCCTGGGTTCTGGTAGGAGAACCATCTCTCTAAGCAGCTGCTTTGCCCAATCCTATTTCTATTTTGCCCTGGGCTGTACAGAATTTGTTCTACTTGTTGTTATGTCCTTTGACCGCTATGTTGCTATCTGCCAGCCTTTGCATTATGCTGCCATCATGAAGCCTCAGCTCTGCATCCAGCTGGTTGTTGCTGCTTGGGTCATAGGCATCACGCTCCTGAGTTACCGTCTGGTCCTTCTCTACCAGCTGACTTTCTGTGGCTCAAACAAGATCCACCACTTCTTTTGTGACAGTTCTCCCTTATTCAGACTGTCCTGCTCTGACACCAGCCAGCTTTGGAAAATAGACTCTGGTTTAGTATCATTTGTCATACTGACTTCCTTATGCTTAACTCTGGCATTTTACATGGGCATTCTCCTCTGTATTCTACACCTTCCAGCATCATTGGGGAGGAAAAAAGCTTTTACTACGTGTTCTTCCCATCTCACCTCCTTGGCTATTGCATATGGGAGCTGCATTGCTCTCTACGTGCATCATTTGGAAGATGTTTCCTTGGAGACAAACAGAACTGTAGCTTTGCTGAACACTGTCCTGTACCCATTCTTAAATCCCTTCATCTACAGTCTGAGAAACAAGACTGTGATAGCAGCCCTGAGTGAAGCCATTGGCCGTGCAACACTGCAGATTTTCCCCTAATCACGATGCATTTCTGGACAGCAATTCCAATGATCTGCTATCATGTGTTAAGTAATACCAGTGCAGATGTATGCCACCTCCAAAGACAGATGCCTCGGGAGATTTCTGTTCTTCTTGGATTGTGTGAGGTTAAGTGATAAGAAGCTCATCTGCACACACCAAGGGAGCACTAACCATGGCAGGAGGAGTAACTCAGTGAATACCCTGCCCCAGCTGCTCCCAGGCCCATCACAGCACAGCCAGCAGCTCATCAGGAACCCATCTCCACAACCCAAGCAGAGCACAGAGGCACAGCGGCAGGTGGGAACCCAATCTACAAGCTCCTGAGCAATGACCATCTTGTCCCAGCTCCTTTCAGAGCTGCCCTGGGAGAGCCATCAGCCTTGTTGTCCAGGTGTAAACCCATCAAGGTGAGCCACTGAGAGCAGCTCTCTGGATCACCGTTTGGACTAAGGGGATTGTTGCCTAGGGGTGGAGGATACATTATGGGATGCAGGGAAAGAGCATTTTTTGGACTGCACAGGACCTATTAGGAGCTTTTTAGTGGAGGACCCTGACCAGTGCAGTCCATCCTACCTTCTCATTAAACTTAATTTCTAACTATTTCCTGTGTGAGGAAATCTCTCTTCTGTGTGAATGTGTGAACATGGGGGTGTGAGTGCAGCAACTGGAATAGAACCAGGGTGTCAGACATCCCATATGTCATTAGTGCCACTGACTGAGCGGCTGGAGTGAGTGAAGTTAAAAGTCTATGTGTGTGATGGGGGTGGTCTGTACCTTCATCTGGAAAAGGGTGCTGCTTTGGGGGCTTGTATGTCCAGATGCCTGCTACTGGGGAGGCTGGTATCCAGGGGCAGCTACTGAGGACACTGAGTGTCTGAGCCCAGCTGCTGCAGGGATCCACCGTCTACAGGTACATATATAAACCAGAGTCGAACCAAATCAAATAGAATAGTTCAGTTGGAAGAGACGTGAAATGATCATCTAGTCCAAATAGCTGACCACTTCAGGTCTGACCAAAAGATAAATCATGTTATTAAGGGCATTGTCCAAATGCCTCTGAAACACGGATGGTATTGGGGTGTCGATCACATCTCTAGGAAGCCTGTTCCAGTGCTTGAGCACTCCTTTGGTAAAGTAGTGCTTCCTAACGTCAAGTTGATAGCTCCCCTGATGCAGCTCTGAATGAGCTTTGTTGCAGCCCTCTGGACACATTCAAGTACCTTCACACCCTTCTTACACTGTGGGGCCCAGCCCTGCACACGGTACTCCCAGGGAGGCTGCACCAATGCTGAGTACAGCCGGATAATCACCTCTCTTCGCTGGCTGGTTATGCCATGTTTGGATGCAGCCCAGGATGCGGTTTGCCAGAGCACAGTGCTGGCTCTTGTTGAGCTGCTGCCCACCAGCACCCCCCCATCCCTTTCTTCAGGGTGCTCTCCAGGCACTCCTCTCCCCAGTCTATACTTGTGTCTGGCATTATTTCATCCCAAATATAGTGTCCAGCACTTGTTTTTGTTAAACATCCTGATTGCTCTGGGGCATGGATACAGGCGTGAAACTGAACAGGGCCCAGCAGAGTTCCCTGTGCTGCCCCACATGTGACCAAGTAGGTACACTTGGTAAGTTTATGCTGACTGCGTCTGGATACTTTCTTCTATTTTAGGTGCCCAGAAAAGTCACCCAAGAGGTCTCTAACTGGTGGCATATTTCTCACCAAAGTGAGTTTCTACAGCATGGAGTTACCTGGGTTGCACTTTTGGCCTCTTTCAAAGATGGGTACGATGTTGGTTTGTCCTCACTCAGAGGAGACCTCTACCAATCCCATGACCTTTCAAAAAGTTGGTTGTGAAGAAATATTGACCTTCTGCTGTATACTTCATTATCACCATGATGCCTGTTATATGGCGTATATAATTTCTCAAATCTTTCATACATTTTCCCCTCTCCTGATACAATGACCATTTATAAAGTCATCTTTACAGATGCTGGCTGCCTAGACAAAGGCCCTTTCCATTATTCTTCAGTTTTCCTCTCCCCATTAATCTTTGTTCGTTCAGACACCTCTCAGCTATGCCTCTGCTTTGAGCTTCAGGGAATAAAAGCTTGCCAGTCTTTCAGAAGTGTAATTGTCTCTTTTAGCCAACTCTTTCATTATGTTTATGTCTACCTTATTTTTACTCTATCTGTCTGTCTATCTATCTATCGATCTATCTATCTAAAATATTTTTCTTAAGATGATTCCTTGTCAAAAGGCAACCTCATTAGCGTATCTTGTACATTGCATATGGCTGGGGATTGTGATTTATTGTTTATGAAACTTAATGATACTTTTCTTTGATTGCAAAGAGGAAGATTATATCTGTGCCCGTGTGCAGCCAGTTGTCTATGGAAAGCAGGTGAGAGATGGTTCAATGGAGCTGTAACATTCAGCTTCCAGAGTTCGGTGCAGTCTGATGGAAGGCAAAGTGAGGCAAGTCCCAGGTGGCCAATGATAGAAATGGTGAGGCTGGGGAGGTGAGGAGAAAGGTTGTCCATACAGTATCAGAACTCAAGAGACTGTTTTTCCTACCTGTCCAGACCTCCCGAGGAGAGCCGCTGCATCAATATCAATTGCAGAATGCTTCCATCACCTCTTTTCTAAACAGAAAAGTACATAAAAATAACCTTTAAAATAAAAAATAATTTTATTAAGTTCTTACTGAAATCTTCCTCTTTAAGAGCACTATGAAATTATTCCAATTAACTGTACCAGTCTTGAAAGGTTAAAGAAAATGAAAGGAATATAAATAGCTCATTAGGGCTTTCTCTATCTTAATGTGCCCCAGGGTGTATTTGGCCCTGAGTCCATGAACCTCAGATACTGAGAGGAGCCTGAGCAAAGTACTCAAGAAGTCAATGTCAGAACCAAAACCCAAAGTACCTTGAAGCATTGATTGGCCCCACTGAGGGCCATTACGGACAAAGCCTCCCCATGGCCTCCTTAGGGCAGATAGTTGGAGGCTCTGATTGCAGGTAGGCAAAGGCACTGTGCAGGTGGCTGTAATGCTGAGAAACCCCTGGATTTGTTTCCTGAAGCAGAAAGGCCAAACCCTGACCTCAAAGGTCCTGGGAAGGCCGATCCTGACCCTCACACATGGCTCAGGGCCCTTCCTGGGAGCATTGGGGTGTGAGTGAGCAATGTCAAGTATAGGAAAACTGTACAATATGGGTGTCTACAGCTGGCCTGAGGACTGCGAGATGGAGACAACTGACACTAACCTGGATAAGACAGCCGTGTAGCCGTGAAAAAGAAGAAGAGGCTAGGACTGCAGATGTAAACAACTTAACGGAACAAGAGAACAGCAGAAACCCTGCAAGAAAAACAGCAGAGGTGGCAAGAAGGATAAGGTCATCCCATCATGAACTGTTGGGCTTGGGTTGGACCAATAAACTAAGAACACACATCCTTAAGAAATATATATGCAAGGCTTGTAAGACAATAAACTCGGGCTTTTGGCTTCTGGCTTTTGGCTTTTGCTTTTGCTTGCAACTTGATGAATGTGTCGCGTCCGTCTCAACAGAGACATCTGGTGACCCTGACGTGTGTGATTCTCGTCAGACTTGCTGCTATGTGGTGGTGGGTAGAGTTGTGGAGACAGAGCCCAGCACAGCGGAGAGCGGCGGTAAGAGCTGATAGATTCAGATCCGGAAAGAGACACCTGAAAATGTGAGCTGCTGAGAACATGGGAGCCTCATTAACAAAAGAGGAAAATATGATAGACGCAATGTAAAAACTAATATTTAAAAAGAGGGGTGTAAAGATGGACGAGCTAATGTTACAAGAGGTGTTATTATGGAGCAAAATACAAGGATACGAAGCAAATACGGTAACATCATTTAGCATCTTCAACTGGCAGGAGGAAGGCGGTAAGTTGTTTGATAACGCCTCCCACGGGGCGAAGGAGGCTAGGGAACTCCTAACTACGTGGTTCCTGCTGTATGAGACTTTAAAGGACTTTAAGGAACAGAGGGACCAAGGGGAAAATAATGCTTTGGCCCCCGCCCTTACAGCAGCGGCACCCCTGGAGGAACAGGGGGCAGGGATAATGCCCGAATCCCAGTGTGAACCCTGGGAGGAGTGCACTACTGAACCTGTGGCAGAGCTTGTGGTCCCTTCAAAGGTAAAGCCTCTGCAGCCCTAGTGGAAAAATCTCTTGTCTGATGATTCGGATGAGGAAACGGACCCTAATCGTCCCCTACTTGCATGAAGAGGACGGCATCAAAATCCTATTATACCTTCTGCCCCACCGCTTCATTCAGGGGAGAAAAAGTCACCAAAAACAACTAGTCCATTTTTATATCCGCCTTTGCCAGATGACTCAGACAATTGGGATGATCCTATGAGAGGAGAGGGGGACAGAGTGGATACCTCAGGCAAGGACAGTGAGTCAAACAAAGGGAGAGAACTGGTAACTGAACAAACCTGGGGGGTTCCTCTTGTAAGCCTAGTCCCCAAGCCTGGGATTTGCCCCCTGAACGAATTATCGTAAAACCATACAACCCTTTATTGTTCTGGCAGAAGGTAAAGGCACGAGCCATTGAGGAGGGACAATGAGATTTATCAGAAGTCATAGATATGCCCATGATGGCACCAAGTTCAGATCCCCCAATGGCTATGGCATTTCCTGTAATTAGAGGCAACCCAGGGCAGGAGATAATGGATGAGCATAGGTCGTATACCTGGAAAGTCATTCAAGACCTCCAAAAAAGTGTTGCACAATACGATCCTAATTCCCCAGCAGCCATGAAGCTGATCAGATTGTTAACAATGGAGGAAATGACACTGTATGGTATAGCACAGCTTGCGCAGAGTATGTTTCAGCCCATCCAGTGTGTTGTGTTCAGAAGTATCTGGACGCAAAAAGCAGACTCACAGGTGATACAAAATTTGCCATTTCCCCAAGATGATCTGTGCTATGGCAACGGCTCGGACATTTTAACGGGTACAGGAAGGTTTA